GCGTGGGCGCTTTTTCCGGACGCGCGCGCGCGGAACATTCAAGTTGAAGCTACGTTGAATCTCTCTTTTCCTGCCCAGGCGCGGACCGCGCGCTGCGGGACCCGCTGCCGCTGGGCCACTTCCGCAAGTACGTCGCCTACGCGCGGCGCTTCGTGTCCCCCAAGCTCGACGTCGGCGCGGCGCTCCTGCTGCAGCGCACGTACCTCGAGATGCGCGCGGCGCACGCGGCGGACCCGGCGAAGACCATGCCCATCACGACGCGCCAGCTCGAGAGCCTCGTGCGCCTCGCGCAGGCGCGCGCGAAGCTCGAGCTGCGGGCCAACGTCACCGAGGACGACGCGCGCGACGTCGTCGCGCTGCTCCGCGAGAGCGTGCGCGACGCGTGCACGACGCCCACGGGCGCCGTCGACTTCAGCCGCGCCGTCGGCGGCATGTCCGCGTCGCGCGCGGTCAAGGCCCTCGTCGCCGCGCTCCACGCGGACGCGGACGCGCGCCGGGACCCCTACTTCACCATGGCCGACGTCAAGGACCTCGCGCGGCGCGCGGGCGTCGAGACGTCGAAGCCCATCGCGGACCTCGTCGACATCCTCCGCGACCAGTCCTACCTCATGTACCAGAAGCGCGACGACGGCTCCTTCGCCTACAAGCTCACGTCCTGCCAGTACGAGGGGTCCCAGACCAGCACCCACCTCATGGGCCCGCCGCCGCCGCGGCCCCCGACGCAGCGCCGGGTCTACTAAGTTGACGCGATATCGAAGCACCGGTCGACTACATTGAATCAATGGTGACGGCACCGTCGCGTCGAAGAAACCATCCACGATGGAGGGCGGCAGCCCGGCGTTTTAGGCCGCTCCCGCGCCCGCTCCCGCGCCCGCCCGGCGATGTCGGCGATGGAGGAGACGTCGAGCTGGTGGCCGGGCAGCCCGCGGTCCGGCGCGCCGGCGCCGGCGCGCGAGGCGCCCGGCGCCCAGACCTACGACGAGATCATGGCGCGGGCCGCGGCGTCGCGCGGCGAGGCGTCGAGCCCGCGGCCCGTGATCACGCTCCACCGCGTCGGGTCCGGGCGGCGCGGCGGGTCCAAGGACCCCCGCGAGTACGACCGCCTCGAGAGCCGCCTAAAGGCGCTCCAAAAAAAAATCAGCCTCGTGCGGTCGCACCTCCGGGAGGCCGACGAGTCCGCCGCGGCGGAGCGCGCCGCCGAGCTCGCCGAGGCCGAGGCCCTCGCGGCGAACACGCGCGCGAACCGGTCCGCGGGCGCGCGCGCGCCCGCGCCCGGCGACGACGGCGACGGCGGCGGCGCCGCCGTCGCGCGGAGCTTCCTCTGCTCCGCCGACTCCGCCGACGTCGACTACGGCACCGGCCCGCCCGCGGCGTCGCACCTCTCCCACGTCGCCATCGACAGCGACTTCGCCGACGACGACGACGACGGCGGCGCGCCGCCGGACGGCCGGCCCGCCGGCGGCGACGCGGCCCGAGACGCGCTCTGCGGCGACGCGGGGGACGTCGAGGAGCTCGAGGTCGAGGACGACGATTACCGGAGGCTGAGGCGAGGGGCGTAGGGTTGCGGCGCGTTCGTCCCCGGGCTACGTAAGCCTAGGCGCTCCGCGTGCGCGAGTCGGCCTCGCCGGTGACGGACTAGTGGGACTCCTTCGCGTCCTTGTAGATGCTGGCCTCGAGGTGGATCTTGTTCTCGTCATGATTGTCTTTGGCCCATTGGAGGTCCCTGGCCTTCTTCTGGAGCTCGCGCCGCGAGCCCGTGGGCACGAATTTGCCCGGCTGGCGCAGAGGGGGCCGACCACCAGGCATACACCAGCCGGGCATACACCGGCATAGCAGCCGCATAGCAGCCGCATAGCGGACGCATAGCGGACGCATAGCGGACGCATAGCAGCCGCATACCACCCGCATAGCAGGCGCATAGCAGGCGCATAGTAGACGCATAGCAGGCGCATAGTAGACGCATAGTAGACGCATAGTAGACGCATAGTAGGCGCATAGCAGACGCATAGCAGGCGCATAAGACCAGCATAGCAGGCGCATACCACCAGCATAGCAGCCCGGCGACCGCTGTCGACGACCCCAGGCGACGGCCGCCGGAGGTCGCCGCATAGCAGGCGCATACCACCAGCATAGCAGCCGCATACAACCCGCATACGACCCGCATAAAACCCGCATACCACCCGCATACCACCCGCATACCACCCGCATACCACCCGCATACCACCCGCATACCACCCGCATACCACCCGCATACGACCACTGGCAGCATAGCAGCCGCATACCACCCGCATAAAACCCGCATAAAACCCGCATACCACCCGCATAAAACCCGCATAAAACCCGCATAGTAGGCGCATACTACCAGGCATACCGGCGGTCAACCCCCTCGGGGCTGGCGGGAGTTGGGATGATTCACAGCCACCGCCTCCCCGGCCACAGCCTCTAAGCCACCGATTCAGATTTGCTCCGAATAGCGGGCCCGACTGCCGCTCGTCAAACAGAGGTTCTGGCACGCGCCGCGCGCCGCACGCGCATTGCAAAGCGGATTTCGAGCTTCGCACATCCTTGCGTTACGCGTGCGCTGCTGAAGGCGCGAAAAATCCACACCGTTGCCCGACGCCGCGAGCGATTCGGCGACCGGCATCGCCGCTTGCACCTACCTTGAGCCACGCAATCTTTGCCTTTACCATGCCACATGCCCGCGCGCGACCGCCCAATGGCGCGCCGACCCGGTCGGAGCGAAAGCAGAAACGTTTCACGCGCCTCGCGCGCCGCCTGGCGCTGAGCTGCTACCGGTTCGTCGTCGTCCACCCCGAGGACCGGTCGATCCACGACGCGAGCCTCTACGAGCTCAAGGAGGCGACGGTCGTCGGCGCCGCGGACCTGCCGCCGCACACCGCGGCGAGCGTCTACGACGTCGAGCAGCTGCCCGTCGCGCGCGCGGTCGTGCTGCCGTACCTCCCCGAGGCCGCGCGGCCGATGCCCGTGCGCATCCGCGTGCCCTACATCCACGCCGCCGCCTGAGCGGGCGCCGCCCGCTTCTCGGAAATCCCGCGCACCGCGCCGCGCGCCGGCCGTTTTGCCACCGCCGTCGTCGCGCGCGCGCGCCCCACGGAGCCGTCCAAGACGCGCTTATAAGTGCGCCCCGCCGAGAGCCGCCCGACGGACCGGGCCGCGACGGACCTCGCGAGGGGGGCATGCGCCCTTACGAAGCGGCCCTAGCCGAAGCCGCCGCCGGCCTTCTTCGCCTTGGCCGCGCCGGCGCCGGGCAGCCGCTTGCGCTTCTTCTCGGCCCGGGCCCGGGCCTTCTCGTCCTTGGCCGCGAAGCCCGACCGCGAGAGCCAGTAGCCCTCGCCGTAGGACACGAGCACCTCGTCGCCCGCCGCGATGGGCCGCGTCGCGACGGTCGCGTGGTGCGCGCCCTCGAGAGTCCAGTGGTCCGCGTTCGCGCGCGCGGCCGACGCCGCGGCGTAGGCCGCGCGGCTCGCCTCGTCGCCGGCGACGATGGCCGCGCCGTCGTTGGCGAGGTGGCCGAGGTACGACGGGTCCGCGTCGCGCGCCGGGTCGCCGACGATGGTCAGCGACGGCACGGACGTGGGCAGCTCGTAGGCGCGCCTGGGCAGCAAAAGAGAGATTCAACGTCGCTTCAAAGTGAATGTTCCGCGTGCGCGCGTTCCGGAAAAAGCATCCATTCTTCGAAACCGCTCCGAGGGATGATCGCTCGTCCAAAAATCAGCCGAAACGAGTGGAACACGGCCGAGAAAGGAGCCTTTGAAGTTGGGAATGTCGCTCTCTTTTGCTGCCCCGGGTCGCGCGCGTTCGCCGCGCGGACGAACAGGTCCTCGGCGGTCTGCTCGTCGTTGGGCACGTGGGACCCGAAGAGCGCCTTGATCTCGCAGCCGGCGGACCGCGACGCCGCGTCGCCGTCGGGCCACGAGAGCAGCGCGTCGCCGGGGTAGAGCGTGACGAGCTCGCCCGGTGCGATGTCGCGCGTCGCGAAGAGGCCCCGGCCGTGGATGGCCGATTTCCCGACGGCGCAGCGGTCGAGCTCGAGGTCCTGGAACCGCGTGCGCAGCAGCCGCTTCTTCACGCGCGCGGCCTCGGCGACGGCCTCCGTCGAGTTCGGCGTCGCGGCAAAGGGCTCGCGGTAGTGGGCGCGCACCTCGGCGAGCATCTTGCCCAGGCCCTCCGTCGTGAGCGTGTCGTTCTTCCTGCGCGCCGCGGCCGGGGCGGCGGCGGCCGAGCTCCGGGCCGGGGCGGCGGCGGCCGAGCTCCGGGCCGGGGCGGCGGCGGCGTCCGATGCGGCGTCCGATGCGGCGCGGAGCGCCACGCGCCGCGGCGCGGCGTGGAACCGCGTGTGCACGAGGCACGTTGCGCACTGGAGGAGCACGAGAAGGGCCCGCATCGCTCGGCGGCGGGCTCTTTGAAGCTGCGGTTGAGGTCCGGGCGCACTTCGCCAAAATAAATACCACAGGCTGGCAGCCTCCGCCTCACTGGACAATGGCCGAGTTCGCCTGGCCTACGACGGCCGGCGGGAAGGCGTCGACGACGGCCACGGGCAAGCAGGTCTGGGCCGCCGCCGCGCGGGCCATGGGCGCCGACGACCTCGCGGCGGCCCTGGAGCGGGAGAAGGACTGGCGCTTCAAGTACCCGACGCACGTCGTCGCGCTCTGCGAGCGCATGTGCGCGTCGCCGGCCGCGGCCGTCGACGCCGCGCGCGGTGGCCTCGCCGCGGCGCACGCGGCCTTCGATACGGCCAATGTGCTCGCGGCCGCGACGCCGCCGCTCCACAGCGTGCTCGTCGCCGGGTCGGGCAAGGCCGGCGAGGTCAAGGTGCCCCTCGCGAGCCTCGACGCCTGGGTCGCCGCCGGGTCCTGCGAGGCCGACGTCGCGGCCCGGTGCCGGAGCCTCTGCGACGAGGGCGGCCGCCTCGCGTGCGAGCCGTCCACGCGGAGGTCGCACGCCTTCGTCGTCCTCGGCGCGACGTCGGAGATGGGCCCCGCGCGCGCGCTCCTCAGCCTCGGCTGCACCGTGGCGTGCGTCGCGCGCGCGGGCTCCGCGGCCAAGTGGGCGCCGCTCGTCGACTTCGCCCGGTCCACGAGCGGCGTGCTCGTCGCGCCGTCGCGCGACGAGGCCGCGACGGGCGCCGACGCGGGAAAGCTCGGCGCCGACGTGCTCAACGAGGCCGGGGCCATCGCGGCCTGGCTCCGGGACGAGCCGGCCCTGGCGAAGTTCGACACGCTCGTCGTCGGCCAGTACATCTACCTCGACGGCGAGAAGCACGTGCGCGCGTCCGTCGCCTGCGACGCCATCGCCGCCGAGCTCCAGAAGACGCGGGACGTCGCCTACGCCTACCTCGCGAGCCCGGGCACGGCCTACCCGATCACCGCGGCCATGGCCGACGACTCGCGGCGGCGCCACGCGGCCGCGCCGCTCTGGCAGACGGGCCTCAGCGGCGCCATGAAGCTCGGCGGCGGCGGCTACGTGCGCAACTACCGGGACGCCGTGGGCCCGGCGCGGCTCCACGTCACCGACGGCCTCGCGACGGTCCAGGGCCCGAACTACGCGCTCGCGAAGACCTTGCAAAACTGGCGCGCGGTCGCCGCGCGCGCGGACGGCCGCGTCGTCTCCGCGAACATGGCGCCGCCGGCGCGCACGGCGTCGATGACGAAGACGAACCCGAACGTCGCGCGCTGGCTCGACGGCGTCGCCAACTTCGCGCCGAACGCGACGTTCTTCCCCCAGGACGTCTCCAAGGTCATGGCCGCGCTGCTCCTCTACGACCTCTGGCACCCGGAGGCCGTCGCCAAGCCGACGACGGCGCTGGACCACCCGCTCATGATCCTCCAGCCCGCGTTCCACGGCGGCAGCCCCCGCTGCGCCTACACGGGCGAGTCCATCGGCTCCTCCGCGGTGATCACGTCCTTCGTCTCCCGCCGGCCCTCCTGCGCCTGAGGAAGGGGGGCGGCGCTTCGGCTGAAGAGACGGGCCTCCGGCGGCTGGAGAGGCGACGCCGGCGCGGGTGTGCCCCAAGGAGGGCAACATACCCCGCCGGCGGGGTATGTTATATGCCGAGCTAGCTGGAACCCAATTGAAATTAACGAACGACGCCGTCGGTCGAGGGTCGAGGAGGCGGTCGAACAAAAGGCGGGAGATCCGGAACGGCACGAGCGACCGCGAACGAGCGTCCAGGGCAGGACCAAACGAAGCGCGCCTGAGATGTCGAGGAGAACAACCAGCGCGTCCTAGAAGGAGCACCCGGAAAAGGCGAAGTTCTGGTAGACCGGGTGGCTGTAGCGCGGGCCGCTGAGCGGGTCCATTTGCGCGAGGGCGTCGGCATTCGTCAGATCTGATTCCGCGTTGTCGGAAACGGTGCGAACGGATATCTCGAGTCGTCGTCGTAGTTCGAGCAGTCGAGGCTGTAGATTTCGTGCGTGTCATCCGGGAGCTTGCTCAAGCGTTCCAGACCGAGCGACGGCCGCTGGCTCTCTGCCCAGGTCGCATACGCGAGGCCGCACACCAGCGCGGCGCATCCGGCCTTGGCCCACTTGCGCCATGCCGGCGCGGCCTTCCGGATGAGAGGCGCGCTCTCCTCCATGTCGCACGCCGTGGGTGCGGTCACGCCGTAGGCGGGCTGCCGCCTGGAGCTTCTATTATTGAACTTCATGATGAACTCATTGCACTTGGCGACGCTTTGGCATCTCTTCGGCATGATGCATTGTTGGCCCCCATGACCATCGAGTCGGACGCCGAGCTCTCCGACGAGGAGGGCTCCGACGAGGAGTTCGGCCTCGAGGCCTACGACGACGGCGAGTACCGCACGGTGGAGCGGGCGGCGCCCGCGGCGCCGGCGGCGCCGGCGCCGGCGCGCCGCCGCGTCGCCGACGAGAGCGTCGTGCGCGAGATGAGCGGCGTGTCCGAGGACGCCGCGGGCCGCGGGCGGCGCGCGGACAAGGTCGGCGAGCAGCGGAGCGCGCACGACGCCGCGGACGACGCGGCCATCGAGGCGGGCGTCTTCGACGAGGTCGTCACCGAGGCCGCGGGCGGCGGCGCGATCAACTTCGACGAGCTCGGCCTCTGCCGCTGCCTGCTCCGGGCCGTCGCGGCGCTGGGCTTCTCGCGGCCGACGGCGATCCAGGAGCGCGTCGTGCCGCTGGCGCTCGCGGGCCGCGACGTCTGCGCGTCCGCCGCCACGGGCAGCGGCAAGACGGCCGCGTTCGGGCTGCCGCTCCTCGAGCGCGTCGTGCGCGCCAAGGCCGCCCACGGCAAGCCGACGATCCGGGGCGTGATCCTCCTGCCGACGCGGGAGCTCGCGGCGCAGTGCGAGGAGATGGTGCGGGGGCTGGGCCAATTCTCGGGCGCGGACGTCGCCCTCGTCGTCGGCGGCGCCAAGGACGTCAAGGTCCAGGAGCTCGCCCTGCGGCGCAAGCCCGACGTCGTCGTGGCGACGCCGGGCCGGCTGCTGGACCACCTCACGAACGGCCGCGGCGTCCACCTCGACGACGTCGAGTGCTGCGTGCTCGACGAGGCGGACCGCCTGCTCGAGCTCGGCTTCGAGGACGAGCTCCGCCAGCTGCTGGGCGCGCTGCCCGGCGGCTCGGAGCGGGGCAAGGGCGGCCGCGGCTCGGGCACCCGCCAGACCATGCTCTTCTCCGCGACGTTCGGCGCCAAGGTCGAGAGCCTCGCGGCGCTGTCGCTCGTGCGGCCCGTGCGCGTGCGCGTGGCGTCGGGCCACGGCGCGGGCGGCGTCGCCGCCAAGCTCACGCAGGACTTCGTGCGCCTCAAAGCCGCGGAGGGCCGCGCCGAGGACGCGGAGCGCGAGGCGACGCTCCTCGCGCTGTTGACGCGGACCGTCGACCCGGCGTCGCAGGCCGTCGTCTTCTTCGACACCAAGGCGGCGACGCGGCGCGTCGGCGCGCTCCTCGAGGCGCTGCGGGCGCGGGGCGGCCTCAGCGGCCACGCGCTGCCACCCGCGACGGAGCTCCACGGCGGCCTCCGCCAGGCGCAGCGCGACGCGAATTTGGCGCGCTTCGAGCGCGGCGACGCGGGCATCCTGCTGTGCACGGACGTCGCCGCGCGGGGCCTGGACCTCGCCGGCGTCGGCGCCGTCGTCAACTTCGAGATGCCGCGCACCGTGGCGACCTACGTGCACCGCGTGGGCCGCACGGCGCGCGCGGGCCGGTCCGGCCACGCGGTCACGCTCGTCGGCCCCCAGCGCCGCCAGGCGCTCAAGGAGTTCCTGCGGTCGCGCACGGCGCAGCTCGACGCGGCGCGCGACGCGGGCGACGCCGGCGCCGCCGCCGAGCTCGAGAGCGCGGGCCTCCGGTCGCGCGCCGTGCCGCCCGCGGTGCTCGCCGAGTGGCGCGACGCCGTCGGCGCCGCGGAGGCCGACGTCGCGGGCCTGTTGGCGCTCGCGGCGGCGGACCGCGAGCTCTCGCGCGCCGCCGAGGACGCCCAGCGCGCCGAGAACCTGCTCGTGCACGGCGCGGACATCGCCGCGCGGCCGAAGCGCGAGTGGTTCCAGTCGTCGAAGCAGAAGCTCGACGCGAAGGCGCGCGCCAAGGCCGAGGTCGACGCCCTCGACAAGCAGCGGGACCTCGCCGAGGTCCGCAAGCGGGCCGACGACCTGCCGACGCGGCGCGAGCGGGACCCGGGCGTCGACGCGAAGCCGCACCGGCTCAGCCGGCTCAAGCGGCGGCGCCTCGAGGCCAAGGCCGCGGAGGAGGTCTTCGCCGAGGAGCGCAAGCAGGCGCTCCAGGACGCCGCCGAGGCGCGGGCGACCAAGCCCAAGAAGCCCAAGAAGGCGAAGCAGGCCAGGGCCGCGGGCTTCGAGGCCGCGGGCTTCGACGACGCCGCGTACGCGCGCCCGGCGCCGGCGGCGCCGGAGCCGCGGCGCCGCGCGCCGTCCGCCGACGGCGACGACGACGATGCGCCGAAGAAGGACGGCCCGCCAAAGACGCGCGAGCTCGCGGGCTGGACCGAGTTCGACCCGTCCAAGGTCTCCCTGCGCAAGAAGAAGGCCGCGAAGGGCGCCTTCAAGTCCAAGGGCCGCTTCAAGCGCCGCTAGCTAACCCCCGCCTCTCGCGTTGTCCTCGTCCGGGGCGCCGCCCCGCTTCCGGGGCCGGCCGCGGCCGGGCCGGCACTTGACGCGCGGGTTCTGGTAGGAGCAGGACGCGAAGGCCGCGTCGAGGAGGAGCTCGGGCCCCATGCAGGACCGGTTGAGGTCCGCGACGACGGGGAGCCAGTCGACGGCGTCGCGCTCGACGGCGAGCATCCAGGGCTTCTCGGGCCCCGCCCAGTGGCGCGCGGCGGGCCCCAAATCCCAGCAGCGGTCGCCGCGCTGGCAGTTCCAGCGCGCGTCGAGCGCCTCGAAGCCGCGGCGCACCGCGAGCATGAGCGGCGGGTTGCTCCCGAGCTTGTAGAGCGGCCGCTTCGCGTCGAAGTTCGCGTTGATCCACGTCTCGACGCGCGCCGTGAGGCCCGCGGCGGCCCAGGCGCCGAGGTCCACGAGGAGCACGCCCGCGTTGAACGCGTCGAGGTCGCCGTAGGGCGCCGAGAGCCCGCCGAGGCGCTCGAGCGCGGCGACGCTCGACGCGTCCTTGCAGTTCAAAAAGGCGCCGCAGACGGGCTTCCAGGGCCGCGGCACGGCGGCGACGGGCGCGGCGCCGGGCGCGGCGAAGGTCGCGTCCGCGAGCGCCGCGACGTCGCCGAGCACGAGCACGTCGCTGTCGAGGTAGACGACGACGCCCGACGCGACGCCGAGGAGCTCCGCGAGGTAGAACCGCGCGTAGTTGAGCGCCGACGACCCGAGGCTCGCCTTCTTCTCGTCGGCGATGGGCCGCACGCGCACGCGCCGGCCCGCGAGCGTCGCCGCGCCGTCGAAGGCGCGGACGTCGTGCCGCGCGGCGCCGTCGGCCGCGCACGCGAGCGCGCGACCCGCGGCGGCCGCGGAGCCCGGGTCCGTGACGACGTGGATGCGCAGGCGCCCGGGCGACGCGCAGGCCCGCACGACGGACCGCGCGCAGGCCACGGTGCCCACGAGCTGCGCTTTGTCGCCCGCGATCGCGACGTGGACCGGCGGCTCCGTCGCCGCGGACCGCGCGCCGGGCGCGGGCGGCGGCGGCACGGCGTCGCGCGCCGCGCGCCAGGGGTACTTGCAGGCGACGTCGCTCGCGTTGCCGCAGCGGCGCGCGCGGCCGCCCGCGAGGACCCGGGGGCAGCAGGCCGGCGCCGCCGCGTCGCAGCGGCTCGCGTCGCAGTGGCCGCAGGCCGCGGGGCAGCAGACGTTCCAGCGGCCCAGGGACGACCGCAGGCCCGCGTCGCAGTACGCGATCCGCCCGGCCGCGCGCGCGACCACGCAGGCGAGCAGCGCGGCGCGCAGGGCTGTCCCTTCAAGCAGCGCGGCGCGCATGGGCTGTTATGAGGAGACCATCAGCATCACAAGGGCTGCCAAAACTTTTCAAGCAAATCTCGTGATGCTCTCCGGAGCTCCGCGGCGGCGCGGCCGGCATGGCCGGGCTCTGAGCTCTCTGATCGCAGCTTCGTGCTTCATGGCGCCGCCGATGCCTCGTGTCAGTGAGCAGCCGTCGAACGCTATCCGTCTTCCTCGTATGCTTCATCGGCATCGACGCGTTCGTCGCGCCGGGAGCTGCGCCGGGCACTGCGAGGCGCTTGTCGATGCGCGCGGCGGCGGCGGACGACTCGCGCGCGGCGGCGGCGGACGATTCGCTAGCGGACGACTCGCTCGCGGCGGCGGACGACGCGACGGCGGCCGTGGACGAGGAGGCCGCCGAGCTGCGGCGCCTCACGGCGCACGCCGCCGACCTCGAGGCCGTCGCGCTGGCCGCGCAGGAGCGCGTCGCGGCGCTCCGAAGCGAGATGGAGGACGCCCTGGCGTCCTCGGCGGCGGCGAGCCGGGAGCTCGAGCGCGCGCAGACCGCGGTCCAGCGCGAGACGACGCGGCTCGCGCGCGCGGCGCGGAGCAAGAGCTCGCGGCGGCGCGGCGAGTCGCCGGCGGGCGACATCGCGGCGGGAGGCTACTCCCGCGGCCGGCCCTCGAACGGCTGGCGCCACGGCGACGGCGCCTACGTGCCCGAGGGCCTCACGCCCGAACAATGGCGCGAGATCCAGGCCAAGGAGCGGGGGCCGACGGCGGGCCTCGGCGCCTGGGGCAGCGCGGGCAACCCGAGCGCGCCGCCGCGGGGCGACCTCATGGCGACGCCGTCGATCTGGACCGACCCGAGCTCGTTCTTCAACGAGCGCAACGCGGCGCCGCCGGGGCCCGCGCAGGAGCGGGCGCCGAACATCTTCGACGTCGACGACGAGGAGGAGGAGGAGGAGGCTGATAGCGACTAACCTTGTTCCCCGGAACTCATGACGCTCTTAGCGGTGCGTCCTAGAGATAGGTCCCGATGAGGCCCTTGATGTCGCGCGGGGCCGATTTGAATCCCGGGACGTAGTCGCGAATCAGCGCGGCGACGACGAGCGCGGCCTTGCGCTTGGCGGGGACGCCGGCGCCGAGCACAGCCGACCGGTTGTCGACGGTCACGCGGCCGCGCCGCGCGAGCTCGACGAGCGCCTTGAGGCTGCCGACGGCCAGCGCGATCGCGACCGCGTTGGCGTCGTTGTTGTCCGCGAGGTCGAGCAGCGCGCTCGCGGCCTCCGATTTGGCCCGCGCGCTCCCGTCGCGCAGGAGCTCGACGAGCGGCGGAATGCCGCCGGCCACCGCGACCGCGACCTTGTTGGCGTCGTTGTTGTGCGCGAGGTTGCCCAGCGCCCGCGCGGAACGCAGTTTGGCACTCGCGCTCCCGTCGCGCAGGAGGTCGACGAGCGGCGCGATGCCGCCGGCCTCGGCGATCAGGACCTTGTTGTCGTTGTTGAACGCGAGGTAGTACAGCGCACACGCGGCCTCAGATTTGGCGTAGGCGCTCCCGTCGCACAGGAGATCGACGAGCCGCGGGATGCCGCCGGCCTTGGCGATCCGGACCCGGTTGGCGTCGTTGCCGTACGCGAGGCTGCCCAGCTCCCGCGCGGCCTCCTCCTTCGCAGTTCCAGCGCCCGCGCAGCCTGCTCCTCCCTCGCGCAAGGCGCGGACCTGGGCGCGGATGCGCCGCGTGATCCATGTCATGCTATTGACCCCTTCTTCGAAAAAGCGCCGTCGAACTTGAACATTTCAAGCAGCCCAAGCGCTCTCCGTCGTCTGGTGCGGAGCCTCGCGGCCCCCGGCGGCCGCCATGCGCTTCCGCTTCTGCGGCGACCTCGAGGCGCCGACGTGGCTGCTCCACGAGGTGCCGACGCTGAGCGAGATCAGCAGCGTGCGCCTCAAGCTTTTGGCGAAGCAGGTGCTGCAGCAGCTGCTCCACGGGTCGCTGGACTACGGCAAGGCGCTGCGCTTCACGACGCCCAAGGGCGCGGCGCCCGACGCCGCCGTCGCCCGGGGCGCCGTCGCCGCCGTCCACTTCGTCGTCGCGTCGGCCGTCAAGTACGACGTCGACGACGCCGTCTTCGCGACGGAGCTCGAGCAGCTCGGGCTGCCCCGGGAGAACGCGGCGGCGATCCTGCGGCCCTACCGCGAGAGCAAGGGGGCGCTGCGGGCGACCTTCGCCGCGGGGACCTTCCGCGCGGCGCCGACGGCCTGCGCGGGCTGGACCGCGGACCGCGCGGCCGCGTCCGCGGCGCTCCGGCTCTCGGGCCCGGACCTCCGCGTCGACGTCGGCGCGGACAAGCTCGCCGTGCTCCTCCACGAGCTCGGCCAGGTCAAGGCCATGATGGACGCGAACCAGGAGTAAGGGGGGGAAAAGCCGCGCGCGCGCGCCGCGCCCCGGGGGCGCCTAGTCCGCGGTGGACAGGGGCGTGCGGACGTTGTCCTTGATGGCCTTGTCGGCCTTGTTCATGACCTCCTGGGCCTCGGCGATCTCGCGCTGCTCCGCCTCGTTGGGCAGCTCGCCGCGCTGGGCGTTGGCCATGGCCTTGGCGACCTTGCCCTGGGCCTTGGAGTGCTCGATCTCCGCGAGCGTGCGGAACTGGGAGAGGCGCTGGCCCGCGGAGCGGAAGCTCACGCAGCAGGCGTGGCCGTACTTGGGGCAGCCGACGTCGGCGAGGTGGAGCAGGTGGCGGCTCACGGACTCGACGTGGTACGCGTCGTAGCCCTCGAAGGCCGCCCAGGGCTTGTCCGGGTCGCGCCGCTTGGGCTTCGCCGCGTCGACGTCGACGTCGTCGTCGTAGCCCTCGACGTCGCGCTGGAGCTTCTTGAGCCGCTCGCGCTCGTAGATGGGGCCCAGCAACTGCGCGGACGGCCCGATGAGCACGTACTCGGGCACGTCGATCATGAAGTCGGGGTCGCGGACCGTCTCCTTCATCTTCGTCAGCCAGTCCTCGACGCCGCTGCTGTAGCGCCAGGCGCAGAAGAGGATCGCCGGCCGGTAGTTGAGGTAGACGTTCCGCAGGTCCATGCGGTCCACGGGGAACGAACTCGACCCCGGCGCGCCGATCGCGTGGCCCGCGGGGTCGACGTCGAGCTCCGCGGCCTTGACGACGAAG